TGAAAACGTGGTTAAGTCCCACTTCAGCCAGGTCACATCTCGCTGTCCGGTGAGTTCTCGGTAAGATCGGGCTCTGGGCTGATGGCTCAGAGCCTGAGCCTGTTCCCATCTCTGTGTCTCCCTCTCTCTGCTCCTCCCCTCACTATGCTCTGTCTCTCTCTGTCCCAAAAATAAATAAACGTTGAAAAAAAATTAAAAAAAAAAAAATTTGTATTCTTTAGGCAGTTCACCAGCGTTAATAAGAGTAAAGTAAATGATATCCTGATTTATTTGAATTGCACATGTAAACATTTTAGAGGTAAATGGAAACTGAAGCTAATTGGGTTTCAACTGAAACAAGTTTTTCCAAACCTAGATATATTGTAAAGAGTAAAGATAGAAACCTTCAACTGAATAACAATTATAAATTGGAAGGAAGGGAGAATAGAGATAACTATAAATCAAAATTTGTGTTATTAAACAGAGAAGTGAACAGCCAGAAAGTATTAATATTTTCCCTGAAATGTCCTTGCAATAAAAGTGGGGGTAGTGGGCACCTGGGTGCCTTTAGTTGTTGTTGCCGATTCAGCTCAGGCCAGTGACCTCATGGTTTCTGGAGTTTGAGCCCCAACCACATCAGGCTCTCAGGATGATGGCATTCGCTGGGGATCTTCTCTCCTCTCTATCTCCTCCCCCTACTGGCCACAATTTCTGAAAAATAAAAATAAATAAAATAAAAAATAAAATAAAAATAAAATAAAAATAAAATAAAAATAAAATAAAACAAAAATAAAATAATAAAAATTTTCTCTTAGCTTGAGCTGGGAGCTGAGACACTATTATAATAAGTTGAATATGTTATTAGTTAATTATTATTAATAACCTAAAACTTCTACAGTTGTTCTTCTTTAAATATATATGAATTATATAGATGTAGTCCATAATCCAAGGCTGGCACGCACTGATATGATCATCCTAGAAGTTACAAAAGCTATTGAAAAATTTAGCTTTTTAAATATTGGAAAATATATTAGAATGATTAAGATTATTGCCTGATGCCTGTGCAGTCCTAATGGAAAAGGATTATTATTTCAACTTTGCCTGCCCAAAAATCTGCTTTTGAAGATACAATTTTCAGGCAAAGAATCAGAAATATATGTAAGATATAAATAATGTATTTCCTCCAAGAAGTCCACTTTTGATTTAAAAATTGATATAACTAGGATGCTCTGGGGGGCCTAGTCGGCTGGTTACCAAATTCCTTGATTTCGCTCAGGACATGATCTGGATCGTTTTGGGTTTGAGCCCCACCTCTGGCTTCCCCTCTGTACCGACAGTGGAGCCTGCTTTGGGATCCTCCTCTCTTCTCTCTTCTCTCTTCTCTCCTCCTTCTCTCTAGACAACAACAGTGCCCAGGAGAAAATTGATTAAATATATCACAACTTTTTTTAAAAGTTTATAAATGCAGTTGAAGAGACTGGAATCCCATATCTATTACGTTAATTACTACTTTGTTTTGTAGGTAAGGTTATGAGTATTTAGATCTTTTTTTTATTTTTTGGTTATCTGAATTATTTAGATTTTGCAGTAAAATACATATTACTTATCCTGCTTTTTATTCATCTTGTGGTTCTCTGAACTTTTGTATCTGCTTTTTTTTAATGTAGTTTCTATTTGAATATCCTTAGACATCTTTTCACATATTTCTTAGAGACAGTCCCATTCTATCATCCTCATTCCAGGATTCCAATTAAAATTCATTTTTCTCTGAGGTTTTGGATGGTTCGTTCTTCCTCTCCCCCTCTCTGTCTCCATCTTTCCTGTTTGTTTTACTCTGATAATTGCTGCTTTTTGCCTGAGCTTCAAGTTCAGTTCCATTCATCTGTGTTAGTCAGTTGATGTGCTCCATTAAAGGAATTCTTCATCTTATATCCTTGTTTTCTTCAAGTCTTCCATTTCCATTTGGTTCTTTTCTTACAGTTTCAACACCACTTATGGAACTTCCATCACTTCAAGCATGTTTTTTTCATTCGATGGATTCTACACCAAGTGGCTTGTCTGTACTTAAAGTTGGTCTGGTGTCCCAGCATCTGCTAGCCCTCTGTCTCATGCCCATATCCATCTTCAGCAGACCAGTGGAACCCCAAGTCAGCTGGGGCTTTCTGCATTCTTCTAACCCTCCCAGCCCCGACCACAGACTGCCTCCTTGCTCACGGCCTGGTCCCACTCCCCCTTTAGTTGTGGAGATGTGGGTCATTACGGTCTGGGCTCTGTTCTTCCTTGTCCAGCCTGCGCGCGTCTGGACGCTGGCTGGGCTCTCTCGCTCTTCTCTCTCTTCCCTCCTCCCGGCAGCCACATACTTGTGCCATATTCAGGTGTGTGTCTTGGGGACAGGACAGTTCCCTGCCTCTCCCAACCAGTAGGCATGGGCTCCCCCCCAGCCCAAGAGAGGCTCCCTGTTCCTCACCCCAGATGGTTGTTTATACAATTTTCCCCCAGAAGTAGCTGCAGGCTTGAGCCCCAGTGATTGAATACTTCCTCTCCCCTTCAGGTTGCTTAAGGCTCTGTTTCTGCATGAGATAGGCCCAGAACAAAGTGTGATCCAGCCCTTTAGCCTAGTAAGCTTTTCCTCTGTCCCCATTGCGACGGGGATCTCTCTCCTGTCTCCTGCCTTGTCCTGCTTTATCTGGACAGAGGTCCTTTTTGGAAATAAATAGTCTGCAAGTGAGTCTGCTGGTAGGCCTCACAGTTCAAGCGGGTCTCTAGCTCACATGTTGGTACTTTTATTAACGCTTCTAAAAATTCATTAACATTTTAGCTCCATTTATTTATTTGTTCTTTTTGGCAGCCTTTTCTGTGTTCTTGCAAAGGGTGAATAATCAACCCCTATTCCCTGTGGGAGGAAATTGTCACTCTTGGTTGTTTTCTTATGGTTTTAGTATTTTACTCCCATTTTTTTGAGGGTGGGGAGTCACATTCTCTTCACAGCTTTTGGCATCCTTGGCAGAAACAGGCCATAATATTTTAAAATAGAACTTAATAAATATTTGTTTATAAAAGCAAATACAATTTTGAATTATGCCCTTTTTATACAGCCAGCCTGTTTTAACATTAGTCTGCCTGATGGTAAATGAGAAATGCAGAAGAAGGTAGAAAAAACCCCAATACTTCCATAAATTAAATTTGAAATATAGTGTATAGGGGCACTTGTGGCAGTTGGTTGAGTGTCTGACTCTGCTTGGTTTGAGCTCGGGTCATTTTATCTCACAGTTTATGAATTTGAGTCTCATCGCTAGTTTCTGTGCTGACACTGCAGAGCCTGTTTGGAATTCTCCCCTCTCTCTTTCTCTGCCCCTTCCCCACCTACACACACTCTCTTTTCTCTTTCAAAATAACCTTAAAAAAATAAAAAGTAAAGGA